ATTAAAATAAACTTTAAAAGAGAATTCATTCCTAGCTCAGCCAGTGGCTTGGTGGTTGAAGTGGCTGGATCCCACAGAGTCAACTAACTGTGTGGTTCGAATCTTGGAGCCAGTGGCTTGAAAGACACACTGGGCATATGTGCATGAGTTCCCCAAATTGCAAGGCAAAGGTGAGAGGAAGAAGGGATTGCAACATTGTCATCCTCTATGGAAGGTTTCTTGCTCTCTCTGTCTCTTTCTCTCTCTCTCTTTCTCACTGTCTCTCTGTTTCTGGTGAGCACACATCCCACCCTCTGGAAAGATTTTTTTCAGTAATGTGGGCACTGCATACACATTTGCCAAGTATATCTTTCAAGCTGCCAGGTCCAGGACTCTAACCTTATGGTCAACCTCAGGGATCTAGTCACCTTAACCACCACACCACCAGCTAGCCCAGCAGAATTCATTCTTTTAGAACCTTCCTTAATACTGAACAAAAGCATTGACTTTTGCTTCCTAGTTTAGCACTTGGTCTGAATAATGAGACTGAATTAGATCAGAAACCCATGTACTTTTAGGGCACAGATTAAGGAAAGGTTAAATTACAAATACTTGGAGTTAGTCTGTTGACAAAGGGAGGAACCGGCAGCATGGTGTTAAATTGTTGAATTCTCTTCAGACAGAAATAGAAAGACTGAAGAGAACCAAATCTGCCAACTAACTAAAATTATTTATGATATTTTAAATATTTATCTATTTTAATCCATATTCAAATGTTAGCTTTTTCAATCATACTATTAATATTTCTTGATATAAATTTTTAATGATTTCCCCTCCATCCTCAGAATATTTTGAGAATATCAGTTATGATGTTGGTATCAAACCCCTTTACCAAATGAAAATGAGCAGGTATAAAAACCAATTAATGAATTGAAGTGTTGGTTTTAAATTTGTTCCATCTCAATAATTGTTAGTTACTTTAAATATAAATCTATGCCTTGATAAGGAATGTTACCAAAGGAAGTAATGACTGAAAGTCCCATACACTGTCTGCAAGGTGACTATGATACCGGTAGAAGCTGGTGATAGAAATAAAGGTAGACATTGATTTAAAAGAGATGAATAGAATTGTCATAGAAGTTTACATTCCTATAATCAACCTTTTCATTTTTTCTTTTCCTTTTCTGTCATTTACCCATGTTATTATTTGCGTTTTTAGTAGTCCCTTTATGCTTGTCTCTGTTAGGGCTTTATCTCATTATTATCAATAGGATTTTGCATCGATACCTTTTAGGTTTGAAATAGTACATTGGTTTGGTGATGAAGCATCATTTAGCTTGACAACAGACAGGCAATATATGCATGAGTGCCTTTACCATGTCTTTTATTCCAAACAGCTCTGAGTAAAGTTGCTACATAACATTTTCTTGCTTTCCCCTTGATTTTTCATTTAAGAACTCTTTCTTAATTATCCATCTAATTACTTCTTTAAAAACTTGCTTTGCACCTAAAAGTACTATAAGGGACCAGTAGATGGCTTAATGGTTGTGTCACTGGACTCCCATGTAGTCGACCATGGTTCGAGTCCTGGACCTGGTGGCTTAAAACTCACACCAAGGGCATGTGCATGTGTGCCCAAAAGCCCACTAGGAGAATGGATGAGAAGGGATTGTGGGGTGGCCATCCCTCCTTGGGCATTGATTTCTCACTTTCTGTCTTTCTGTCTCTTGGGCAAGCACATACATCCTATAGCAAAAATCTAAATAAATAAATAAAAGTGCTATAAGAGGGCTATAAAGGTGACATAGCACCTTTAAGAAGGTCTAAATCTTTTATTGAGATATAATATAAATTATTATAATTCAAGAGGTAAGAATCTGGGATAAGATCATTTGATAGAAAATGTTATTATGATCTTTTATTTATCTTAGAGGTGCTAATAAATCTGAGTATGTATGTATCTATTTGTGTGTGTGTATGTGTGTTTGTGTGCATGTGTGTGTGTGTGTGTGTGTGTGTGTGTAGGACAAGAATAAGAGTTCTTGGGCTTTTTGGGGGATTAGTAGATTAAAATTTATTTATAATGAAAATAATCTTGGCTTAATCAAGAGCTAATCAAGACCAGGTTTTCAAGTGTCATGGCAGAACCTACTTTATATCTTTGAGTACTCACAGCCTTTTGGAGACTTTCCAACAAGACATGCAAGTTTTTGAAATGTTTATATTTGGAGACATAGAGGGACAAAAAACGTGATTTTCTTCTTCTTCTTCCTTTTTTTTTTTTTTTTTTTTAATGAGGGAGCAAGAGTGTGTGCACACAAGATACAGGGAAGAGGGTGGAGAGAGAGAACTAGGTATTTTTTTGCAGGGCCTTGCCACATCGCTGTCCTTCTGCCTGGGCCTTAGCTAGAACCGCAGGTATACACCACAGTGCTAGTCTGTTTAGATTGGGCCAGGAACTGAACCTTTGTGGCCCCCAGCTCTTGTGCAGTGGTGCCTTCCTACTTGTTCCACTGTGACTGGCTATTCTTGTATTCACAGACTGAAGCAAATGTGAAATCCAGTATATGGTATAGTAAACATAAAGTAAAAAGAGCCAGGAATCATTTTTTTCTCTTTTTTTGGAGAGGTTTTTGCTATAGGGCGCGTACGCTCGCCAGAAAGACAGAGAGACAGAGAGACAAAGCGAGAAATCACCCCCCAGGGGGGTTGGCTATGCCGCAATCCCTTCTCCTCCATTCTCCTCTCGGGATCTTGGGCACGCATGCACACGTGCCTGGCTTGAGTTTAAGCCACCGGGTCTGGGACTTGAACCGCAGTTGGCTACATGGGAGTTCAGCAACATAGCCATTACACTAACTGCTGATCCTCATGGAATCATTTTAATCTACTGATAATATGTAGAGTTTATTTCAGCCTAGGATTTCACATTGACTTTGCACCCACTAAATCTTTGCCTGCTTTTATTTTTATTGTTGAGACAGAACTTATTCATAAGCGTATGTTCTCATTTCTGCCAGTAAAGTACCCTTGCAGCCTTTCGAATGGGTTTGTTGTCTAAGGGTGAAAGGAAGCACTTTCTCAATTAACATCTGTTGGTGTTACTTATAATTATACCCTACAACTAGGAAGTACAGTATTTGCGTGCAAGTGAATTCTTGAGGTCCATTTCATTTTTCCTCAATTGAAAAAAAAACACTATTTTATCTACAGTAGAGGATTTTTAAAGCATATATCTCATCATTCTATACTCTTTTTTTTTTTTTTTTTTAGAGAGATTTTCACTGTAGGGCACGTGCGCTCGCCAGACAGACAGAGAGAGACATAGAGACAGAAAGCAAGAAATCACCCCCCAGGGGGGATGGTCACGCCACAATCCCTTCTCCTCCATTTTCCTCTCGGGATCTTGGGCACGCACGCACACACGCCCGGCGTGAGTTTTAAGCCACCGGGTCCAGGACGCGAACCGCGGTCGACTACGTGGGAGTCCAGCGACATAGCCATTACGCTAACTGCTGTTTCCCATCATTCTATACTCTTGACATAAACTTTTTGATTTTTCAGGTTCTCTCAGTTTCTGTTCATTTACTAATTTGTCTTATTGGAATCATGTATGTTTTTTCCATTTAACATAAAGATATTTCATTGCTATAAAGTTTTCATCATAATTTTAATTGCTTCATAATAACTCATTATCTACTTATTTTTACATAAAACTTTTAAAAGTATTTACTGTATTTCTTTTCTTGTCTAGTTTACATTAGTATTTATCATAATTCAAAGTTCTATAGTTTTATGCAAATAGTAATGCCATTAGTTTCTTTACACATGGTTTTTATGCTTTTATATGATCTTTCATGAATAAATATGGGGACAAATGTATATATATATATACAGCAGTTTTTAAAAGACAATGAAAATTACTGCATAATTCAGAAACAACAGTAGACAGGCCCTGAATTATTTATATTGTACTATATTGGGTAACTGCTAATTCAGCTTTTAAGTTTGCTCTGTCTAACATGCTATGTTGTTTGTTTGATTTAACCTTTGATTCTTGTTTTTGCATTCATATTTGCATGTAGAAGTTGAATTAAATACTACATAAAAGAAAGAAATGAGGTCTATTAGACATTCAGTTCCAAAGACTTGTATTAAAAACCATTCTCTTCTTAAATAATAAAGATATATGATCTCTAAGCTGGCTATGGAATCCACCTCACTACAGTCATATTTCAGATATTCAGACATTTATTCTTAAGTGATTTTGTCTGTAACAGTTATCAGGAGTATAGTTTTATTGCTATTATAAAACACTGGATATAATAAAGTTTGTTGGGGGAGGAGGTTCAAGCCTATCAGCTAGAAAATTTGTGACTTTTGGGTTTTGTTAACACTTTGATATATTAGCAAACAGTGCTCTACTTCAAAGCTAACACAGCCTCAAAAATATTCTCTTTCTCTGTATGTATAATACATATTTATATAACCACAATTGCAGCTCATTTCTGAATCTCATTTCTTCCTGTGTTTATAAATTTGTACATTCCATTTTTATGCTACTTCTATTATTGCCCGAGTAATTAAGGATTATATTTCTAGTGTTTAGACCAAAACTTTTTGTTACTATACTGTTTTAATGTTTTCAGAGCACTTTAGAAAATCATTTTTTAACATGATGTAGATTGGATATTGTATTCTCTTGCTTAGCCAAAATGTGTAATTTATATGTGTTACAAGTTTGTGTGCATAAATTGTAGGTTAGCCATGAGTATCTCTGAAGACCTTCCTTATAGGTCTTGAGCACTATTGGCTATCTGGGTGGAAGAAAGGTTGTATAGATTCTGCTGAAATCCTTTACATATAGCAACTGCTGAGAATGAGAAAAAACAAGAATGGAATGGAGAGTAACATGTAAGAGCTCTAGAAATAGCTGCATTTTAAATTGTGATTTCATTTGTTTGAATTTTTAAAGTGGTCATTTGTATTCTTATCTATCTTCTTTGATCATTCTCTTCCAGGAACTCCCCAGAGTTCTTCTTCTTCATCAGTTGGGGAAGCAGGAAGGTGCATGGACCATACTTCCTCTGTTGCCACAGTACGTTTAACTTAAAATGTGTAGATTTTTTGACATTTCTACCTGAACACTCTTATGCTCCTTGATCTTCTTAGTAAGAGGGTGTGTTTTTCCACTTTAATCAATAAGTAAATTAAATTTTAAAAAATAAATTTTACTTTTTATAATTACCACATTAGTCAAATTTCTCGACATTTGATTCTTAATCATAAATTGCTTTTATTTTTAAATACACTTTTTGGGACCAGCAGATGGCATAATGGCTGTGTCGCTGTATTCCCACGTAGTTGACCACGGTTCCAGTCCCAGACCTGGTGGCTTAAACTCATGCCGGGTACGTGTGCGTGTGTGCCCAAGATCCCGAGACAGGAGGATGGAGGAGAAGGAATTGCAGTGTACCATCTCCCTGGGGGGTGATTTCTTGTTTTCTGTCTCTCTCTGTCTTTCTGGGGAGTGCACATGTCCCATAGCAAAAATCTCTCCAAAAAAAAAAAAAAAAAGAATTAATTATGCTTTTTTTTTTTTTAAAGTTATTTTCTTTCATGATACACAGGCAGACAGGGACAGATATCTTTGACAGGGTCTCACCCCATTGCCGTCCTTACTCTGTAAATATGCTTCTTAAGAAATAAGATGCTTCAGGTAGGTATTTTAAAGTCATTTATCTTCTGACTTGATGCTGATATGAAGAGAATTAAGAATGCTAGTTGTTCTACAAACCATTAGTGTCTGGCTTCCTATAAGCTGAAACACTATGCATTGAAGAAAGCATAGAGGGAAAAAAATCTAGATGTCTTCCTATTCTATATGTCTTTCATCCATTTTCTACTTAGCAATTTTAAACCTATGAACTTATTTTATAGAAGTGATTACTGTTTCTGGTTTGTTTTTTTCTTTTCTTTCTTTTATTTTTTTGGCCAGTTTTTCTGTAACATATAGCAAAAATTCATCGTGGATTTTCTTCTGTGAAGAAGAGACAAGGATACAGATTCCAAAACTCTTAGAAACACTCAGAAGATATGACCCATCTAAGGTGAATACAGTTTTAATACCAGTATTTATCTTTTGGGACAGTGCTTCAAAAATGATTGAATTTTCATGAAGAGGTTTTTGAATCTAATAAAAACATTTGATTTAAAATGAAAAAGGATGAAATAATGGTTGAATATCTGGAAGCTATTATGTTAAATGATTCTCTTTGAGGTTTATAGCTTAAAGAGGGATGGAACTTATACTGAGATATTTTAAATGAAAAAAAATTCCATTTATGTATTAACAATTTCAGAGAGTTAACAAACTATAGGCTAGAATTCAGAAACAGTTTACCCAGGCTGGCCCCATAGCACCATGGTTAAGCACTATGCAGAAGGGCTGGATCCTATATGTACTACTGTAGTTCAAATCTTGAATCCAGCAGCTTAAAAAACATGTAAGGCATGTACATGTGTACCCAGGATTCTGAGGGAAGGACGAACAGAGGAGAAAAGGGTTGCAGCATGACCAGACCCCACTGAGGGTACACATGCTCTCTTTCTCTCTCTCTCTCTCTATATATATATGTGCCTCTGGCAAAAGAAAAAAAATAGAGACAGTTTACCCTAGGAATAAAAGGGTTATTTCTCTTCATTGGACAGTGACCACATATTATTTTAGAAATACTTTTTTAAAAAATTATTTATTTATTTAATTCTATTTGTTGTTATTATTTTGTAATTTGACCAGACAGAGACAGAGAGAAAGAAAGGGAAAGTGAGACATCAAGCCACCAGGTCTGGGACTTGAACCGCTGTCGGCCATGGGAGAATCCAGCGCCTTTATCCTCCACACCACCTGCCAGCCCCTGTTTTAGAAATATTTTTTGAGTGCCAGCAGCACATGGGGCATCATGGAAGGCAGGGGCTAGAACAAAACAGACAAGGATCCTGACCACCTGCATACAGAAGGGAGGAGAGATCATTAGAGAAGCAAGTATAGTTAAAAGCAAAACATCTATAATATGGAAGTGTTAGAAGCATGTAACAGAGGTATTGAACCTAATCTAGGAGGGCCAGGACAGGAAGTGGTTTTGTTTTGTTTTGATTTTTTACAAATCTAAATGACTGTTGCTTTATTTTTACTTTATATGTGCAGAGTAACACATTTCTTTAACTACATAATTTATTTTATTTTATTTTACTTACAAATAGAACTATCATATGACCCAGTAAACCCATTCCTTGGTATTTACCTAAAGGATAGGAAAACAACTCAGTCAGAATTGACTTTTGAGTCCTGTAGGATGAATAGGAGTTCGCAGGAGAGAAAGTGGATATGCCAGTCAGAGGAACCGCTGTTTGAGAGAGTGATGTTGAAAAAGGTTGTTTCATCTTTTGTTAGTGGGATTCAGTGAGGTTCACTACTCCTTTTGTATTTTTCAAATCGTATTTTGTTCAGATTTGATATAGCAACTGGATCTCATTTACTCTAAATCTAAAGTCCTGAGCGGTGTTTAATACTTAGTTGGTGAACAATGGATATTTGTGATAAGGAATAACCCTTAATATCAGCCTTTCTGCTGAGCTGTTGGGTTGTTGGAAAAGTCATGGTGTACTTTTTTTTTTTTTTTTTTTTTTTTTATGCAAAAATGAGTCATGACTTCTGACAACCTAATACATTCAAGGGCACATAGGTTTAGAGAGAACTGTCTTAGAGAATGTCAGGCATAAATCTGACAAATTCACTTCTCTTACTGAAGCCCAGGTTACAGCCTGATCACTTTATGAAATTCTATAAACTTAAAATCAGCAGAATTGAGCCTTTTCTAGAGGCCTTTGTTTTTTTTCTTTTTTTTATCATTAAGAGACAAGCCCCATTCTAGTGAATCAGGTTTAATGGGGCTATGGGGAAGCAAAGTCAAATTTCTGGGTGCCTTCTTCATTTGTTGATACAGATATAAAAAGTTGGGTAGCAATGATTATTAGATTAATTTCTCAAACACTAGAAAGTCTGTTACTATAATAACCACTGGTTTTCATGATCTTTAAATGTTGGAAGGATCCATTGTGATTTTGCTTCATGCTTTTGGTTTCTGGGAAAGTACAGATATAATTGGATGAGAAGGTTGTTAGATTAAAAAAAGTAATTCCTTCAAAGAAGAGAATTATGAACTCGTCTCATCCCATCTTCTCACATGATTAGCATCTGAGTTCTTTGTGCCATGTTTTATGTAAACCATTCGTTAGGCTTTTATGTTTCCTTTGACTTGAGAAAAACTCCCAAATCTTTTTTTAAGATGTAGGAGTTTTAACCTCCTCCTAGTGTTCCTTTCACCTGGAGATTATTTTTCCATTTTCCATAGCTCTAATTCTGTACAGGAGATAGTGAGTCACTGCTTTTGAATGAAAATTGGAATGATAAATTTAAAAGTTCAAAGCAAGTTCATGAAAAGCAAGTACAGAAAGAGGTAAAATGAGATGTTTCTCCCTCTTTTCTGAACTCTGCTGTATAAAGAAATCTAGGATGCTTTATTTCTTTTGAAACTAGCATTAAGGAATAGAGATTACATAATGTTGAGGTTAGCATGCACCAATGTGCTTTTTCCTCTATCACTGAAATTGTAGGAATAAAATATAAAACAAGTCTGGCTTTGATAATGACACGAATTAGCTACATTAAAATAGTAATTATGGAATGTATTAGGGTATAAGTTATTTTATTTGATTCTGATTTTTTTCTTTAACATTCTTCCGCCATTCTACTAATAAAGATTCATACTATTTACAGTATTTTAAATGTAAAAATTTAACTTTATTAAAGTAATTACTCTCCAAGTGATTTCTATAAATTTCCATAATGTGTTTGAAGTCTTTTGTACTCTCACAGTTTGCTTTTAATATATGTGTACTTGATGAAGTACGTTGACTTTTTTTTTTTTGGAGAGGTTTTTGCTATAGGGTGCGTGTGCTCACCAACCAGACAGAGAGAGACAGAGAGACAGAAAGCGAGAAATCACCCCTCCAGGGGGGATGGCCATGCCGCAGTCCCTTCTCCTCCATTCTCCTCTTGGGATCTTGGGCACGCACGCACACGTGCCCGGTGTGAGTTTAAGCCACCGGGTCCGGGACTCGAACCACGGCCGACTACGTGGGACTCCAGTGACATAGCCATTACACTAACTGCTGGTCCCAGTACGTTGACTTTTTAAATTAAATTTTTAAAAATTTTGCTAGTCGGTGTATGCAATCACCAAAAAAAGAGAAAGAAGGGGAGAGGGAGAAAGCACCCCCCAGTGGAGTGTGGTAACAGTACAGTCCCTTTTTCTCCATTTCTTCATGCCCTTGGGATTTTGGGCATACACCTTTACATACACATGTTTTTCAAGCTACTGGGGTGGGAATTTTAACTACTGGTTAGCCACATGGGATCCAACTCCCTTAATCACCAGGCCATGGGTAGGTCCCTGATTTGCATTACTGATTACCAGATGCTAGTAGTGAATAATTCTGATCTACAAGTAGAACATTGTCTTAGTTACTTTTTCATGTTTTATCTTGATTATAATTGGCATTTTCATGAAGTCATTAAGAAAGATATTCAGAGAGTGCCTCTTTCCATAGATTCTATATTAATTTCTCCCTTAAAGTAGTTTGTAGTATAACTCACACAAAAGTCTTAGAAAACAATAATATATTCTACATAGTAGCTAAACACTTTAATTAGGAGATAAAACATAACAACATGTTTTTCGTAAAATTATGTTTGGAACAGATTTTAATAGTGAAAGATTGATAAGAAAGGTACCATAATTTATTGAAGTATTTATTTTCTTTATACAAACTCTAATTGGCATGGTGTGTTAAATGTGATTTTCATATGGAAAAGGTTCAGTAGTTTGATAAAGAGCTGTGCTGATTTTTTGTTTTAAGTTGTTGAATTTTCTACTTCAAGCTGAAATCACTTGCCTTGGTCATTATTAGGCATTCTTCTCACCCAGTAATGTATCAAGAAGAAAGTCGTCTTGTGGATCTGTGAATCTAGTCATAGTTATGTTAATGGCTGTCATCACCTTTTGCTAGGTTGATCAAAACTAGGACTGTAGGAGGTTTTTGGCATACAGCCTCAAGCAAAATAAGGCCCTTAAGAAATACTTGAGTGCTTAAGTATTGTACCCCTCCTGCTAGCATTTATTTATTTATTTGGCTCTTGCCATAGGGTGCATGCACTCAACTAAAAGAGGGAAAGTGAGAAATCATCCCTCAGGGGGGGTGGCCTCTTAGCAATACTTTCTCCTCCATTTGCTTCCTGGGATTTGGGGCACACATGTACATGCACCTGGTGTGATTTTCAAACCGCTAGGTCCAGGACTGAAATTGTAGTCAGCCATGTGGGAGCCCAGTACCTTAACCACCTGCTGGCCTCTTACTGCTACATTTTGTTAAGAAATAGAGAGTGAGGTAATATTGGCTGGATAAGAGAGAAAATATATTAAACTTCTAGAACTTAGGGCACTTGATTTAAATGACATGCCATGGTTTCTTCAATAGGGGAGATTTGCCACTTAAATCACTCCTGGGCTTTTTTCAGTCATTTAACAAAAATCTACAGAGCACCCATTACATGTTAGGTGTACTGGGACACAACAATTAACAAAATGGACAGCATCCTTGCTTTCAAGGAGGTAATATTCTTGTTTTAGGGAAGATAGGCAGTAAGCAAAAAATGCACATAAATATATAATGTGTCAGATGGTAATATGTGCTATAGAAAAAAACACAGCACAATAAGGTGGTAAGGGGTAGACTGAGGGTGGTCTAGTCTGTAAAAAGTGATCAGGTCACATTTGAGCAGAGTTTGGAGGAATGGAATGAGCCATGTGCTCCCTACTTCCACATCAAACTGCTTATTTCAGTACCTCTGGCCCTTCAGTAGGAACCTCAAACTCAACATACTCAAAACAGAAACCTTGATATCTTTATGAACCTCTTCCATCTTCAGCTTCCTCTTCTCAAAAATGGCTACAGTATCTATCCAGCTGTTCATATAGAAAACTCAGGACTCACGCTTGGTTCTTCTTTCTTTCAGCTCCATATTGGCATTTGCAACTGGATCTACTTCCAAAGTATATCTCATCCACCTTTTCTGTTTGACGCTGCCACTCTGGTCCAGGCTACCATCATCTTTTGCCTTGACCTTTACTAGAGCCTCCTAACAATTATCTTGGTTTCATCTCTTGCCGTTCTAATAATCTGGCCTCGCTGTAATTTAGATTATGTCACTCACCTGAGCAAAAACTTCCAGTGGTTTCTTATTTCATCTCAGGTATCTTCATTGGGTGTTTTATTTGAGGTTGGCAGCAATTCTCTTCCATCATTGCAAAGATGTATTATTGTCTTTTACTTTTTATTATTTCTGTTGAAATAATGCGCTATAATAAAGGACTTTAAAAAGTTCATGGAAAATGTAATTAAAGTGCAAGATTATTTTGATGCAAAACATTTTTGAAACCTATAGTTTTTCATACCATGCATATTCTATGAACTTTTCAAAGTTATGCTGTCTTATTTTCATTATAGCACATTTCAATCACTAGCTGAAGTTACTGTACTTACTTGCTTATTTTCTGTCTTCCCACTGTAATGTAAGCTGTGTTCCTGCCTGGCTTTTCAATTCATCTTAATTGAATGGATTAATGAAAATAAAATAAGCACTGATTTGCAAAGGGATTTTTTTCAAAATTTCTTTGAAAATCTCAGTGGAATATAAGGGAACAGTTTTCTTTGCTTTATTATACTTTAAAATAGAACTGGGACCAGCAGTTGGCATAATGGCTGTGTCACTGGATTCCTATGTAGCCAACCCTGGTTTGAGCCCCGGACCCGGTGTCTGCATGCCCAAGATCCCAAGAGGAGAATGGAGAAGAAGGGATTGTGGCATGGCCATCCCCCTGGGGAGTGATTTCTTGCTTTCTCTTTCTCCATCTGTCTCTGTGTTTCTGGCGAGCACATGTGCCCTATGGCAAAAACCTCTCAAAAACAAAACAAAACAAAACAAAACAAAAAATGCAAAAACTGGAATATTCTATAAAATGCCACTTTCAAGGCCAGTCCTTGGTGCAGTTAAGTCCCATACTTGGGTAGCCGGATCCCATATGACTGATCACAGTTTGAATCCCTACATGGTGACTTGAAAAATATTCCAGGTATCATGTGTGTATGTGCCCCAAGCCCTGACAAAATGGACAGATGGAAAATAAATATTATGGAATGATCTCACTTTCATTGCAGGGGGTGCTTTCTCTCTCTGGTGAATGTGGATGCCCTCTGGCAATAAAAAATAAATAGATGCCTCTTTTATACATTGATAGCATAATGATAGCTAACATTTTGTTGATCCTGATATTGAACTCTTTCCTTTAAAAATGGAGATTATGATCTATTCAATATCATACTAGTATTATATTTTTGTTCAAATTCTGTAGACACATATACTGTGTTAACTGTCATCCAAAATAATTAGTTAACCAAAACTAATGATACTACCTTGTTTTTGGTCTCATATGAAATGAATTTTTTTAATGACATTTTATATCTTTATTTAACAGGAATGGTTTTTAGGAAAAGCATTACATGATGAAGAATCTACAATTATTCACCATTATGCCTTTTC